ATTTATAATATTTTATTTATTCCTAATACATGGTATTACTGCTTTATTGAGTATATTTCATTAGTTGTATTCATTGATTTTCTATTTGTATTGAGAGTATTTCATTGTATTATTATTTTAAATACAAATGGATACAATTAGGTTTAAAATACAGATAAATACAGTTAGATTGAATGCATAACTAATTGATGAATAATATCAGAATGATAGAACTAATAATGTATTTAAAAATATTGTTGTAAGAACTCAAATACATATAAATACAACAGTCAAAAATCACTGTACAAAATAAAAATCAGTGTATGCCTTATCGAATACATATAAATACATCTAAATACAAGAAGAGAAAACCATTGTAGAAACTACAAATCAATATATGCGGACTCGAATACATATAAATACATCTACAATTAGGGTCATTCCGTATTTTTGTTCTCCTTTCGGCTTCAATGGTTACTGATGAACACAGGTTCCTCTTGAGTGATTTGCAAATCGAAAGATGGCCCTTCGAAATTGAGTGCTTTATTGGGTATTATGCAGAAAACCTAACAATGGTTGATATTTTTAAAAACTGTTGAAGAGAAAAAGAAGAAGCTTTAAACCGCCAAAAACCAAAAAACTTTAGTGGTAAGTGGTGAAAATCTATGTTGATAGTTTATGACTTGCACAATTTCATAGTTCTTGACAGAAGCAAGAAATCATGAATCATAAGGAAAAAAAATTGGTGTCACGCCTCCACGTCATGTGAAATTGGGAAAGAACAATTTTGAAAAGGATGTTAAGAAAACTTGCAGAAATCATGGAAAACCTCACAGTTTTCATGGCTGAAGAGTGGTGATAACCATGGAAATCATGGAAAAGCTAACCGTCTGTCGGAGGAAACCAGTTTTCTGGTTCATATAGGAAAGAATGAGAGAGCGATGGTGGAGAAAGAGATCGTGGAGAGAGAAACAAGATACTATGCGTGATTTTGGGAGAGAATAAACTGAAAGAATGACAGAGAAAAATATTAGACAGCATATTTAATGGCTTAACAGTAGGAAGTAACCATAAATACATATTTTGCTATAAAAACTAAAAGGTAGTTATAAAAAATAATATTTTAAAAGGGTTTTTATTTATAATAAATAGGATGTAAAGTTTTGTTATAGGAGGTAAAATTTTCTTTTTTGATCTAGTTTGTAAAATTTATTTATTTTGAAACAAATGATTTTCGATAAAGTCCTTATTGAAAATAGTAAGTAGGCGTTTGGACATAAGAATTGTAATTTTTTAAAAAAGTAGTATTTGAAGTTAAGTTAAAAAATGGTATTTGGAATTTGAAATTATATTTGGACATGCATTTCACTTGAAAAAATATTGCAGTTTTGTGAGTGAGGAAAAAAATTCTGAAAATTTTGAATTAAACTCATTTTCGATTTTTTTTAAACTTACAAATTTTATGGACAAATACATTTTTGAAAAGTAAAAAAAAAAAAAAAAGAGATTTTCTTTTATGAACAAACGGGGCACAAATGGTTCTAAAACCTGCCATTGACTAAATAGTACATAATAAGGGGTCGTTTGGTAGGATGTATTAGATAAAATAATGCATGCATTAGCTTTGTGCATTAATAATACTTTGTTTGGTACACTTTTTGAACTTATGCATTAGTTATACACCATATTTGGTATTATCCTATGCATAACTAATGTACAGAAAATCATGGTATTAGCAATACAATGGGTTTTAATGCATGCATTAGCTTAGTTAAAAACAAAATTGTCCTTCAAAATTTATACTTGATTAAAATATGCTATTATATTAATGTAATTTTAAAATAATCCAAAAAATGAGAAATAAAATTATATCCCTAGTAAATAAATAAATACTTAGCATATTTTTTTTATAAATAAATATCCAGTTCTATACTACAATATAGGTAGATAAATCAAATAATTTGTTTTAAACTTTTCTATATAAAAACATTCCTCAACATATGTTTCTTTTAAAAAGATAGAGTGATGGACTGGTTTTGAGGGCATTTTTGTAAACAAATAATTCTTTTAGAAATTGCGGAATACTTTAATACATCAAACCAAATAATGGATAAGAAATTAATATGTCAGCATAACTAATGCTAACATAACTAATATCAGCATTACTAATACATCATATTCAGCATTATTCTTATGCACCCTACCAAACGACCTCTAAGTGTTATGTGCCGAGAATGCAAGTGGAGAATGGTGACGACTAGGGGTGGCAAAATGGTTTTAAAAAAAAATAGTTAACCACCCATATTATCCACTAAAAAATAGGTTGGATAATGAACTTTTTAAAAATGGGTCAAATATGGATAAGAACTATATTATCCGTTTAGAAAACGGATAACCAATAGGTTTAACTTTTACATTTGTAAAACCTCAAATTGGGGGGTTACTCAAGTTTGGGAGACTAGGAATTCTCCCAAAAGTGATCATATTCATGATGCCATGGATAGCTGATTAACCCATTTTTTATTTGTTCGAAATATGAGTCGGATCGAATAATTTATCCGTTTTTTATTACATATTTTCAACCCGTTTCATATCCGATCCGTTCCGCCAGTTTGCCACCCCTAGTGGCGATAGATATTTGGTCTAAATTTTTTCTTATTATACCTCCAATGCCACTCACGTGACACTTCGTATCTGTCATCTGATAATGAACCACCCATATAATGTCTAAAAGAGGCTGCTACGGTGGCTTTACCTTTCCTCATTTTCCCCCCTTCATTTTTTTGCCTTTTGATGATCAACACAAGCATAGTTTAACATGAATCATCTGAATATATACTATAATCTGAAATAAATCTAGAGAATTTTTCTTCCAGATCATAATTAGAAATTTAAAATATTTCGGCATTACACATACAATATTCGAAACCACTAATTCATCTAATCTGAACTCATGTTAGGTAGACTCATTAAAGACAATATATACAACATTCTTCAATAATAACAACAACAACATACCCAATATAATCTCACATAATGAAGTTTGAGAAGCGTAATATATACAGACCTTACCCCTACCTCACGGAGATAACAACATTCTCTAACAACAAGTTCTCTATTCCTAGGAAGCAAGTTCGAGATCTTTAACCAAGGTTTTTAATTACGAAAAAGGGCCAATATACCCAATACTATCAGAAAGGATTTACACATATCCTCGTTATACTTTGAGTCCAAATATACTCCTGTCATTATACTATTGGTTCAAATATACCTCTTTTCTGTTAAGTTTGTCCAAAGTGGACATCCAATCCTACGTGACAATGGCATTTAATGAGGTAGATGCCACATGGCTTGTCACCTAAGCGCCCCTAACCCATTTTATCCCTCACTTCTATTTTTTTCACCACTAAAAGTTTTTTCCCCTCCACCAATATTGCCACCATTACCTACCATGAAAAATATTGTATTTCAAATTTTAATCTTTTATATATGGATTATGGGCATTGAGGCGGCATGCCATGTGGCATCCACCTCATCAAATATCAGTGCCACGTAGGATTGAATGTCCACTTTGGACAAACTTAACAGAATATGGGTATATTTGAACTAATAGTATTACGGCAAGGGTATATTTGGACCCAAAATATCACGAAGGGGATATTTAAATATTTTCTCATAGTACATGAGTATATTTAACCTTTTACGGTAATTATACATAATTTTGTTTACGAATAGGCTTGATATAACAGGTTAAGTATTTGTTAACTTTTAATTAGTTATCAAATTACACTTATTATGTCAATGACGTGTACTCCCTTCGTTCACTTTTACTTGTCCACTATTGACTTTACACACCCTTTAAGAAATAATAAATAAAGTATATAATTTACCATGATACCCATATTAATTGGTGTATAGTTAATGGATTTGAAAAATAATTTAGAATGAGTAATTAATGCTAAGGGCAAAATAGAAAAAATGAATTAGTTTTCTCTTGATATGCGAAAGTGGACAAGTAAAAGTGAAAATTTACTTTTAGAATAGTGAACAAGTAAAAATGAACGGAAGGAGTAATTGTAAGTTACTTTAATTTGATGTGTATAAATTATTAAACCCTGAGTATAAAAATATTTATATGCACTCAAAGTAAATTAGAATAACAAATGCATGACATAAAAATTTTGCACAACTAAAAGAACAAGTGCATGCCATGTCTTATGCACACCTTTTACCACTAAATATAGTTAATTAATATACTTTACCTCAATTTATTGTCCAATCGTAATAAATTAATATATAATTTAATTTGATACACATGCCTAAGTAAGATTTTGTTGTAGTGATAGACATATGAGGTACTATATAACAAAAGAAGGGATTCTACTTCCTTGTGTCGTGCATGTGTTTTTTTTTTTTTTTTTTTTATTTT